CACTGCTCCCTCAGCTACCACTCCTGTTTGCTCAGATTTGCTAGCAAGCCAATCTCTAGTCCCGCAGCTTGAGATGTGCCTGACATGCCTTGATGCCTTCGTCGCCCCTGCTTTTTGTATCTTGAGCTTTCAGAGAGCCTGCGCATACTTCAATAGCAACGCAACGTTTCCACGCCCTCGCAGTCTTTGCACATTGCTCACGCGATGTTGTCGAGAAGTGTCAGAACTGCTGTCGCTTCAACCCATAACTTGGCCTCCATCCTAATTACGTACGTCAATCCTCATCACATACGTCAATCTCGTTTTGCCGATGTTCCGGTGTTCCGGTGTTCCGGCAGTTTGGGCATGTGGACTTGCGAGTCCCAGGCCACATTGTAGGCTTTGGTGCAGGGCTCACGTTCGCAATCTTTGGCCCGGGCTTTAGAGACCCTCGTCCGCCACAACCTGCCCGGAACCGATCTTGGAACTTGCACGCGCTGCATTAGAATGCTGACCAACATGTTTCACAATGTGTGGTTGGACCCGCCATCGTTTTCATCACAATCGGTTTGCTGCGTTCTGACCCGTCCGTAGCCCGCGCACGCCGTCATCAACTCTTGGTTCGTGGTTTTGGTGTGAACTTGTAACATGTGGTATGCAGAAGTTTGCCCTGTTTCTGGGCTTCACAGAATAAGGAGTATCGTATCTTGGGGAACGGGTACGTGCGGGGTTCCCCTTCAAATTTGTAGGAGATGCCCATGCAGTGCTTGCCTTAACCGCTTCAGGGCTGTCAGTTTGGAAGGGCAAGGAGTCAACCCTCTGAACCCCTGCTATCTTGCACGGTCGGAAGTCCTCCAGGTTATTCCAGCGTTTGTCAACCAGATACCGTCGCCGGAAGTCATTGATCAGGAACGTCAGTACTTGGCTGCGCGGCATGCACAAGACCTGAGGTTTAGGATGTGCTATGTTTGACAATTGCAAGGGAGCAGACGATCACCAGTTGGGATGCACAAGCGGTAAGTAGCAAGTCTGGAATGGCAGATTGGCATTGCAAACAAGAGTAGCGCGTATGATGCTCCAAGACTAGGATAGTCTCATCTTTCATCTCCTTTTCTAGGCCTTCATAATTGGTGTGGTCCAATACCTGTGTTCACCTGGTTCATGTCCCTTGTAGGTCCAAACTTGAGAACCCAGGGTGCCCCCTTTTAGGCCTTAAAGGGTACTACAATATCTACTGAGTTCCATAACTCAGCACCAGGTCGAGCCGCGCCCCTGAAATCTTCACCCTAAGTACCGCGCGGCAGCTCAGGTCCGTTTCGTCGCAGATAGCTCTGCCGGATTCTTTGTTGGAGCCACCTGGCCTTGGCGCTTTGCCATTCTGAGGGCGGGAATGAATGCAACTTTTGCAATATCTATGCTCTTTTTATGGAGGGTTTAGAAATAGCGGGAATCCTTGAAAGGAGGGTTCTTATATGTTCGGAGTCGAGAGACGGGGATGGGCAGTGTTAAGCTGTCTTCTCGAGTCTTGGCATGTCGCCGGGCAGGCAGAGGCTTTTGCGACACGATTTTTCGAGAGAGAGAGCGAGAGCGAGAGATTGTATCTCTTGAATCTGCTGTAGTAGGGGAAGCAGTATAGAATCTTTTGTTGGAAATTCAGGGCACTGTTGTCTTCTGACTGTTCTGCTCACCTGCACAGATGTCAAGATTGTGTCGGGAGAACCGATGCCACTAACATGGCGGCACACTTCTCGATTTGGGTCGGAATAAATGCTAATAGTACTCCCTTATGGTCCTCTATACTTGTACTAGAATCGCCCCGCAAAACTCAATTCTAATTGTTCAGGCCCCTATATTACCAGGTTTCCGTTTCATTCTCTCTGTGCTGTGCATGCAAAAATGTTTGATGGAGTTCAGGCGATTCCTGAGGTCCGGAGGGCCATCACAGGCCTTCGCGCCTCAAGTTTTGTTTTGTTGCTTCTTGAAGGCAGGCGTGTTAACTGCATTACAGCCCGACGTACCATGCCCACGACCCTCGAAGCAATTATGAGGATTCCCAGCTGCTTGCACTTGCAAGGATGTCCGGCTGACGCGCGAGATGCTTCTCAAGAATTTCATTATCGTAGGAGGTGTCGCTTGGCTTTGACCCCAGGGCTCCGTGTAGAAATTAGAAATGATGAACAAGAAGCCCGACCACTGAAGCACCCACAACCGTGCTTAGGGTTCGGGGTGTGATCTAAGCACCCTCCAGACTCTCATGGAAAAGTCTAAACTTAGCCATGCACTCTGAGTTCCACCTGCTTTCTGAGTTCTGACCGCAGTGGTAGAGACAGCTTCTCAGGTCCAGCTGTCTTTTGTAGGGCACCCCTCAAGGATTCGGAGCACTTGAATTTGTGTTTCTCCCAACCTCTCGCCCACATCCCCAGATTCCAGTTGAGGGTTTATAGGATTGGGGTGTTGCGCCGCGCCTGAGGTCCTGTCCGGCCTGGTGGGCGTTCTATCCCGGATCCCGGTGGGCATCTAAAGGCAGTCTGGTGCAGCATTTAGGGTTTATGGCTGTCGGCTTCAAGACCTCGCTTTCCAGGACTGCAGGGCACCCCAGGAAGCTTCAAGCATGAGGTAGAAGAGCAACGTCCACGAATCCTCAACAGGGCCACAGATTGAACCCGAAAGCCCAAACCTGAAAGGATAGACTCCTGCCAGCCCGAAACCCTTAAGCTTGCAGCGTCCATACCCCAACGCCGACCATGCAAGTTCCCCCGCACCAATTCTGAAGTTTTTTGGGTTTGGTGCTGTGGAGAAATGCTTGGCGAGGGTTGCGGAACCCAGCCTGCCAGCTACCAGACATTCTTTTCGTGAAACAAGTTGTTCTTGGTTGAGGAGCATAAAGCCTCCGCTGACCCTTAGCCGAAGTCTTTGTGCGGTTCAGAAGTTCAGATGTAGCCAGGACGATGCCTGCGACATTGGGGAGTGGTTCCAGATCCCCAAACCAAACCCGAATCGTGCAATCCGGCTTTGCTAGACAACAAGCTTCGGGGTTAGGGTGCAATGGGGCAAGCAGGGTCCTGGCCCCAAATGCTCCAAACGTAGCAATGAAATCTCTAAGGCCAGGATCTCGTTCATCGACGTCCCTCACGACTGCTTCATGCGAAGATCAGTCAGCTCAGCGGTGTTTCGGTGGTGTCCTATACAAAAACCAGTTAAAGCAACATATTCGAAATAAGATTCCTAATAGTTGTAGTTTCATTCTTGGGAGGTCATTGTGTTAATCTTGTGGTGTTCCTTATGCAAATCCTAGTAGACTCGTATCTTAGAGTACTGCCTGTCTACTTGGCCCTGGTCCATGTGTCGGCATGTGTCGGCTCATGTTGGGGCAGCTTGCAATGTTTCGACTTGGCCTCAGCGGGAACGGAAGGCCTTGTCATCGTGAAACATCGAATACATGCCGCTTGCTGCTTGCTGGATTCGGGCGTCCTACGGGACCTCGGGCGACGGCCAAAATGTGTTCATTCCTGCTCTGTCTTCCTGGGTCCTTTCAAGGGGTGGTCTGAAGTTACCGTCACAATCCGTATGTATACTTGTACCCACAATGCCCACTCTGCCTCACGTTACTATGGCAGACGATCTGGTTCCTGCGCGCGGTGAGCCGGTAAAACCCCAAAATGCTGTCCCTCGAGGCGCATGTTCTAGGAATTCTCCGCCGAGGAGCCCTCACATGATGGAATAGTCCAGGGGTAATGGAGTGTCTGGGTAGAAGCCCCGAACCAGGAGTTAAGAGGACGAGACATCACCCACCTCGTTCGGACTCACAGGGCAATCCCTGCGTTACTTACCAGTACCTTCCAGAGGTACCTGAGCCGAAAGCAAAGGCAAAGGATCCCCCAACGACCTGCAACCCAAAAGCCTACGGGAGAACGGGAGTGCTGAAATCCTTGCCTTCCCAGAATGGCCGTTTTTGCAGAATCCCCCGCGTGCAGAAACTGGGCCTCTATAGTACCCCTGTCGCTACTCGTCTCCTTATCTTCGACCTTATCAGCCCTTTGTTTCTGTAGCCTGAGCCCCTAGGCCTCTCCATGCCCCGTGTCCTAGAGCGATATCCCCCTTAGGATTTATTTTTTGTTTTGTTTATAATATATACAGCCCAAGAGGATATTAAAAATATGATTTCTATGTTTGGTTCTAAGGGGAGTATAGAAAACCTCAACCCTAAAACCCTATCGAGGTCTAGAGCACAGACCAGCAGGCGAAGGACCCCATGAACCGGCCCTTGAAGCGAACGTATTCGTATAAAGTGTGTTCCTACGGCACGAAACCACACAGGGCTCTTCCTCTAAACCTACACCTTGCATCTGTCGATCTAGATTTCTTGCGCCTCTACAACTGCAGTATGTATCTGGGCTTGAATCGAGGAGCCGTCCCATGAGTGACAGTTGCGTCGGGGGATTTGGCATACGTACTCCAGAACGAAGGAGTTGATGAACATGGCGTATTCTTAGTATTCTTTATTCAACGAGTTCGCATATCCGCGGGAAAGCTCGGTAGGTATATACATGTATATAGGACGCTGCATGTAGCTATCGGGTGCGCAGAAGAAATTCCGAATGACAGCCCATCACTATTTTGCATTGTTGTTCTCTATATTGGTCTCTGGAAGACACCAAATGCTTTCAGACAAGGCAAGAGGAAGCAGGAAAAAAATAGAGAGAGACTCTCAACCCTGCACGCTAAGCCCTGAACCTAAACTCAAACCCTAATCACCCCAACCCTTGGACACCAAGCCTAAACTCGAGACCCCAAACATCCCCAAACCCTATAAACCCTAAATCCTAAAAATACAACATACATCCTAGACTCCTAGACCCTCAACCAGAAGAGGTCACAGTTATCTGCTGCCATGGGCTCCATTATAGGCTTGTATCTCGTTGCATGGGTGTTTCCGCGATGCGGTCGCCCCTACCATGCAACTGTTGAATGGACCATAATGGACCCACATGCAAGCCAGATGTATGAGCCCTATATAGGGAATCCTTCGACAGAAGCGCTACCAACCTTCATGCCGTAAACGCTTTGTACCCGCGGGTGCTTCTGTATGGCTGTGGGTATCCGTTTAGTTTCTTTGTGGCAGAGCCATGCACAGACCTGGTTCCAGAAGATTTCTCGCGCATCTTCAGGTCTGTTGGAGTTCTTTCGGGGTTTTCGGCGGTTTAGGGTTTAGGGGTTTAGGCTATCCCAGCAACCTGTTAGACGCCTGGATGCAAAAAAGGGTTTAGGGTTTTGAGCAGGTCGTTGAAAAGGCTATTGTAGACGGCATTGTCTTTGTCCATGTCGACTGCATCTTGCACCTGCAAACCCGATCCCGAAACTCTGTACTTTGGGATGTTCCCCCTTATACTCGCCCAAAACAAAATAAAAGGGCTTAGTCTACAGGGTTTATAGGGAGGGTTAGAGGGTTTTTGGGGCTCCAAGTTCTTGTGAACCTCCCCCAAGACCTCCAGGGCTGAAAAGTGGTTTTCTTGTTTTGTGGGCTATCGAGCCTGACACGGGTTTATAGGGTGTTTATGGGGCTTATATAAGGTGTGTAGAGTATCGATAAGATTCATACAGGCTGGTAGCGTTTATAGGGTTGTGATGGGGTCTGAAAGGTTTAAAGGGTTCCAAGTTCTCCTGTAGTTGAGGGGCAAGCCGTGGCTCCTGAAGCCATTACCCCAACTAGGGTTTAGGGTTTAGGGTTTGGGGTTTAGGGTTTCGGGTTTAGGGACACCCTAAGTCCCGAACTCCTCAACCCCGAAAAAGCTGAACCCCAAACACAACAGTCAACAGTCTTCCACCCTGTAAACCCCTCAACGCCCATGACCCCCCCCCCCCCCCCCCGCCCAGCTCTTCCAGCGCAAAGACACGCACATGCTAAACCCTAAACCCTACACCATCCTACACACTAAATCCTAAGCATGTCATCGCAAGCTGTGCATGGATGCCTTCCGTCCCGTTCGTCCCCTTGAACGCGCGAAAGCGCCCGAGTTCCCAGCTCGCCTTCCGTCCATGACATGTCTTGAACGAAGCTTACTTATATACGGTTTACTCGCATGCAGGGGATGATTGAACAAATCTAAAGCCCTACCCTGTTTGACCCATGACGTGAAGGGTGCACTGGGAAGACATTTTCAGATCTTTCTCAATACTTGCACTGGATGCGGAGTGAGGGAGATGATGCCTGCAAGAATCCGTAGAACCTTCATCCAGCGAGCTGTCATGAGTAATGAATCTCCCCGCTCCCAGTTCAGTTCCCACATGCGGAACACTTTTTTTAAGACACAAGTTTGATTTTTGCACGCGATCGTCATCTGCAGGGCACGATGTTTGTTCTGACGGTTGATGATATATCTCTTTATGCGCATTCGCCAGGTCTTCGACGTGTCCCCGCATGCAGACTTAAAGGCTCAGGCGTGCAGTACCACATATATATATATATATATGCTTTTGCTATGTACCTAAGTACATATACATATATACATATACACAGCGCATCATATATATATATATACATGTTCATTTGTGTATGTTTATATGTATACGCATATTTAAATCGATTTGATGTGTACATCACAGCAATCTCTTCGACACGCGGCAAGTACATACACACATGTAGACGACATGCTAGCATCATGTACATAGAGAGATATATATATATATATATACACATAGATCAATATATCGACCGTGGGTTCGAAATGTTATGGCTCAGCTGTGTTAGGAGTCTTATCGTCGCAGCCGTCGCGTGCTGAGCTTGTTTGGGCTTTGGGCACGTAGGCCCAGGGCCCACAGAACATGGCTTGCCCGCAGAAGAATGCGGGCGAGCATGTCAGTGTAGCCATGTGGTAGGGCTGAAAAAGGGTGTACATATCGGCCGGGTGCAATCCCACCCCTGTGGCCGGGAGCCTTTCAACCTAACACGATTTTCAGCTGCCAGGAAGGCTCGGATGCCTGAAGAGGCCGACCGGACTGCGCGGGTGGTCAGACGGCCATGCCATATCACCCGTGTCAAAAGAGAAGTTCAGGTTACAGGCAGTTCATGTTATTGTCTTGTACTCGCAGGCTATTGCCTGGCTTCAGCCCCCTGGTGCACGTGCCTGCTTATGTTGCTCTCAGTCTTGTATCAGTACCTTGTATTGTTGCGAAGTCTAAAAAATTGACTCAGCGATTTTGAGGAAGAATGCAAAGTTCCTGGGCCGAGAACCCAAACAGAATAGCAACAGGCCAGAAGTCCTGGAGTTCCGCAGCCCTTGCAGCTTCAAGCCTGAAGCTTCCCACCCTCAGATTCCCATGTTTTTCTTTTGAGCCGGGCGTTCAATTCTTTGGGAACTTAGCATACGAGACAAGGCCCCAAACAACATTGCAAGGGAGTTGCCCACGAGGTGCCTTCGTGTGCTTTGCGTATATTGTTTGGGTGGTCCGGACATATCCGAAGCCCGGAGAGAGTCTTCAAAACGGAAAGGTTGGAAGGCCTTGAGCTCGTCAGTTTGTTTT